GGGGTAAAGGTCAATCCGAATTGGGAGGCGGAAATCACCAGTCTAAGCAGCACACGTTGGGCGGCTTGGGAAGACTCGCAAATCACAGCGATGTCATCGGCGTACTCTAAGTCCCGAAGGCGGTCACCAGGAAGCAGTTCAACATCGCAGAACTCAGATTTCCAGAGCAGTATCCAGAATCTCATCCATGGCGAAGTAGAACAAGAATGGAGAGGCTGGGCCACCCCGTCTAACACTGCTACTTATACTGAAAGGGGATGAAATGTCTCCGTATACCCGCACGCGGCCCGAAGTTTGATGGTAAATGGTACGGAGAATGCTGATGTTCTTCTCAAGTGCTCCCCTCTTCAGTAAGCAGTCCCAAAGATCCACCGTCAAAAGAGTCAAAAGCGGTTCGAATGTCCAAGAATATGACTATAGTTGGTCCACTGAACGTATAGCGATGTTCAAGTATCTGGCGGATCGTAAAGACGTGATCAACGCAACTGCGACCCGGGCGAAATCCAACTTGTTCACGCAGGTGCTGTTCCCATACAGATGCACATGTTAACGTATGGCTAAGCTAGTGGCGCGACTACCATGCCATATGAGGTGATACATACCAAAGGTGTCAAAACAAACCGTCGAAAAGAAACAGCTTTTCCTGACTCTTCTATTCAAAGGAAATAGTACGGCTGAGATATGCACGCGTCGACAATAGCAAAGCTGCAAAAAGACCTTCAATGTGGTTCAATTGAGGGTGGTTTTCACGAGCAGACCTTTAACAGTTTTAAGATCCAAAGACCGAGTGCCTGATCATCCCCAAACAATGTTAATCTGCCGTTTCACCCGCGCTTGTGGGGCCAGGTACGTTGGACGTAGGATCAGACAAGAGAACCAAGAAACACCTCCCATGTCGGCTCGACAATCGCGAAAATAGGACAAACTACAGCGCGATTGCGAAGCATCTAATCATCACGGGACACCAGATAAACAAACAAACTCCTTTTCAGATTCTCTGCAGAATATCGCCAACGCATAACCATCGAGTAGGAGCAAGCCTACTTGCTACCGCTGAGGCAATATGCATACGCCTGACAGACCCGGACGTGTGGGTCCAGAAGAAGATGGTACAAACACTGCAACTTCCATGGCCGACCAACAGACGGGAAGGAAGTGATGGTACTCCGCACATCCACCTGACTTCAATCATGTGATCAGATGACTGCTATCATGATCACAAGTTAAATTATGTGATCAGCTGGTTGGTTGTTATGTTGACAGTTGCAACCGACCTTACCCTAATGTATAAGTCTGACGAAGAACTAATCGAAAACAATTATTCGCTTAAAGCATTGGATTTTGTTTTTCTTCCTGAAAGTGACGTAATAAATGGATATTCTGCAAGAGTTGAAATAAATGTCAGTTTATTGCGCGACAGCTGGACACTTCGACATCCCGCTGTCTTGATATCAGGCTCGTGAGCCGAAGGCTTTGGTTGTGAGACCTATTCGTTCTCCCACTTAGGTTTGGAAGCCCTGGCAGTAATCCAGACAGCATATGATCGTGAATTCGTCATCAAAATTCAATCACATGTTGCATCGGATGCCACGTAGTTGCAAGATGGTCATCTTATCTGCTGCATAGAGCAGGGCGGATTGGCTAAAACATGATACATAAATGCTCCGAAGAGACTACCTCCATATCATGATCACCACCATAAGTTCACCGCGCTTTCATAGCTTGAAGGTTCCCATGTAAACCCTATGTAACCAGATCTCTGTATTTTGACCACTTCTGTAAGTTGTATAATGATCACTTAGGCTACAACAGTCAGTATTAAGTTAAGCTTTTTAAATTCACCATGTGAAGGTTTACAGTGCAATGATCACTGAAAGACGCGTTCAAACAATAATGTGTATGTAGCAGGATGTTACATTGTGAAATTCTCCTGACTCACAATCACCATAAGTTATAGCTTTGAAGACGTTTGATATCGCATGTTCCCTGTCTATGTGCGTGTGGAGAATGACATCATAAACCGCATATTAAAAGATCGAGGTGCTTTAGCCAATCACCAGCACTTATGGCATCGGTGCGACATCATTCTCGTCCTGATGGGCAAAGTTTACAACGCAGCTGTCCGTTCAACCTTCCTGTGCGGTTGTGAAACCTGGCCCATCAAATGAACAGTTCTAAAGAAGTTAGCTAAAGTCGATCACCGCTGCCATCGTGGTTTAGCTCACGTCTGGTAGGAGCACCGCGTGAGCAATGAATGTGTTCGGCGCCGCGTATGTAGTGCAGGAAGAGCGAGTAATCCGCTCCGCACCATTTTATCACGCATTAGGCTCCGATGGCTGGGCAAAGTGTTGCGCATGCCAATCCATCGACTCCCGCGAAGTGTGTTGACTGCGCGCCCGGGGTCCGGATGAAAGAGAAGGAGGGCAGACCAAGCAATGACTTGGTCAAGAGGAATGAAAACCCGCACTTCGAATTTGCCATCGGTTGGTGCATCCGACTGTCGGGCTGGGGTGCGAAGAACGAGTAACACAGTTGATTGGACCCACTCGCTGACACAGCTAGGAGACGGCCCCAGTGGCGTTTGTGTTGAGAATTTCTTTGCCCATCTTCCTCTCATTTAGATTCCCTTCCAATCTCGATCACATTATAAATTAATAACATGACAGCATTATATTACTTGATTTTCTGAATTTTTTGTAGCGCTATTTTTGGCAGCGGATCTTTTTGTATTGGGGCACATTAGCTGAGGTGTGTTTCTCACCCGCAGCTATCGTGTATTAATGATGATAAGAATGGGCGAACTTAAGAAACAAAATGTTCGTCTTAGGTGACATGAACGATCCGTAGAAAGATAAGGAGTTGGAATTTTGTCTGTAATTCCAATGTGTGACGATTTCACTTATCGGAAATGGGTCATCGTTGTGGACTAGGGGTAGGGTGATGAAATGAATAGGAGAGGCCGTAGTCATGATCAACACATCCGTCCTTACGTCCCAAACAGTGTATAGGAAAGCAGTCCACAGGAAACTGAAATAGTTGGAGATACACCCATAAACGATACGACGACCACCAGAATGAATGGTCCCCATCAGATAAGATGTAAAAGTAAAGTGTGGATAATGTGATTAGCAGCAGCAAAAGCGTTTAGAAGAACAGTTGTAACTAGTTGTAGTAAGTGTACGCGAAAATCAAACCTGGGAAAAATAAACAGCGCAATCCAAAATGCTTAGCCAACGTTTCACAACTCGTGGGTTGGCAACTGGATCACCGTCGTCCGGTGGTCCCGTCGCAGGCGGAGCGCCGTCAGGGGATTCGGATTTCGCCACTTTCCTGCCGGAAGCCCATCGTGAAAGCTGCGCCAGCTTTTCTGGTTGTTCTTCTGGACGTTGAAGACGTAGGAACCTATGATGCAAAAAGTGTATACAGATGATTCAATGACCAGCGCAATCGGGTGTGGAAAGTACAGTACAACAATTTCACCCCATCTTTCATAATATATTGTCTTCAACAGATGAATTCGGTGGCCGCAACCTATCTAGTTGATGTGCGGATCGAGTGACAGAATCGAAGTCAGATGCCCAGTAGTTGTTGGATGGTTCCTGCGAAGGCAAGTGTGGCGGCGGTAGTTCTCAGCTGCATATGACCATCGAGTGATTACTAACTGCCAGTGGCACCAAAAACTGAACATAGGCCATTTGCAAATACAGGTGTGAAATGCACCATCAATGCGAACGCACGCTCACTGCTGGAAGTTAGTGGCTGTTCTTATCAGTCCTCTAATACTAACGTGTCACCTGCAGGACCTAGGGGCCGCTTTACATAAACAGTGACCATCTTGAGGGCCGCCGTCCTTAAGGCGGTAAGCTGCTTTTCGTATTGACAACGCCTCGGTTCTGTTGCGCGGTCCCGGAAACCCTACTGCGTCCTGTACGTCCCGTAATCGTTGGTAGGGCCAGACATTATAATTGCATTCCACAGTCTGCGTCATCGTCGAGCCAAATGATCATAATCCTAGTCGAACCAATGTGGCTTCAATAGTCCAACTTTCCGATATTTGAAGGTCACAAATTGATTAAAAGGCAAGGAGAATTTCACAGTGGGTTACAGCAAATAAAGCAAGTCATTAGCAGTATGCCAGCACGTCGTATCGACGCTTCACTGACACGAGGCCACCACCAGTCGCAGATGGGCTAGGGGCATTGCAAGGTCGCCCGTACCTATGGCGATTCGAACTGGTGACTTCCGGATACCGAAGAAGGTACCCAATCCCTTCGGGCACCGCCAACCCCTAGAATGAGGGACCATAATGGTCAATAAATCGGGCCCATGCAGACCGAAATATCGTTGTCCGAGAAGGCGGTCAACATCAATACAGCATCAATGAAACGGTAACCAAGATAATGTCGAAAACACACGCTTAGAACTCTGCTAACAGAATATTCGGATACATCTACATTGATCAGCACCATCAACAGAAGTACATAAGCCATTTGAACTGATGTTTCGATGTCGCACAAACACATCGACGTACGAAAGAAAGAAGGTAGAGAAAAGTATTTATCGGAAAACCTTAACATCCCATCAAATTGGCATGCCTTTTGCACTTTCAAGGTGCAAATTGCTGTTACAGGACCATAAGGCACTAGATGACTCATTGATGGCGAGGAATTCGAGTTAGTTGACCAATTCAGCTATCTTGACAGCTGCATCGGCAAAGATGGTAAATATCCACTGAAGTCAGTCCAAGTATTTCATCAGCATCATCATTAACAGCAGTACATCAGCCATTTAAACTGATGCTACGCTGCCATACAACAAGAACGAACTATGGAACGAAGAATAATAAGAGGGAGAGAAGGGGGCCGACCGGAAAATCTTAATGTCCTAAAGAAATATTCAGGGCCAGAGCGTCCACAACTCGTTAACAACATACCAACAAAAACAGATAGCTAACGCGTAAATATAAGGCGACATTGGCGAGACAGCCTCCTTGCGATTAACAGAAACCCGAGTCATAATCGGCCAATACCCCGCAGAAAACTCTCCACTAAGCACAATTTAGACAAGCAGTCCGACAAGGACACGGCAGCAGACGCACCACTGGTGCCGACTGCGAGCCATGTGGTATCGGGTCAAGCACAAAGCGAGTCACATGGACTCCAGTCTGGAAGGCGAGACAAACCGACGGCCCCCAAATTGGGTCGTCAGTGACTTCATTTCCCGCTGCCAAGTCAACTACTGACAAGCTCGAGCCTTGCGCCATCATAAATTCGGCAGATAAAACAAAGCCATTCTCGGAAAGTGGTGACTGGGCATACGTTGCAGGTGCCAAAGCAAACGCAACTTATTCAGTGCCATCTGTTGTTCTAACAAACTAGCTTAAGTATCACTGCTTAACACTCGCCTAGGAATATCATATCTGTGGATACGCAGGTGACACCCGGCACCAGACAGCGAATATCAACGAGTTGAAAGCGCCGAAGAGTTTCAGACCGAAGCCGCCAAGTCTCACTCCCATACAGTAGGACGGCCTTAACTGTGGCCTTGTAAACACGGTCTTTTAAACGGTGGAAAACCCCTATGATTACTTATGAATGGAAGGATTTTGGTGAGTATTTTTGTTCGTCGCAATCAGCCGACAATTCAGATATGTCGACCAGCTATCCGGAAAAGCACCAGACGGCCGTTTCGCTCTATTGGGGCTCATCAGTGGTGCGCATCCTTCGGTCCGCTGTGGGGGATCGAACCCATGATTGTTAGTGGCTCTTGCCAACTAGCCCGCAGCTTATGCAACTGCGCCATGCGCACCACTGATGAGCCCCATTAGGGCGAAACGGCCGTCTGGTGCTTTTCCGGGTAGCTGGTCGACATATCTGAATTGTCGGCTGATTGCGACGAACAAAAATACTCACCAAAATCCTTCCATTCATAAGTAATACCAATTCGCCCTTACGGATTCCACAAAATGCTATGTCGACTCATAGCTGCCGTAACCGGGAAGTCCCGACACCGGAAGGCCGACCGCTGTCACCTGTATGGCAGGTGCCTGCATGGCACTGGAGGACGCGTCGGGCTATATCGCATTTAGCTAACAATTCATGATAGTCGGATACCGTCCTCCATGGCGCAGTTGCATCAGCTGCGGGCTAGTTGGCAAGAGCCACTAGCAGTCATGGGTTCGATCCTCCGCAGAGGACCGAAGGATGCGCACCACTGATGAGCCCCAATAGGGCGAAACGGCCGTCTGGTGCTTTTCCGGATAGCTGGTCGACATATCTGAATTGTCGGCTGATTGCAACGAACAAAAATAACCTTTATGATTAGAACAGTCTGTGCGACCACCTTTCTGTATATTGCCAATATAATCGACTCACTCTAGTTAGCCGGGAAACTCACTTCCTTCCAGATTTGTTCGAATAGGAAGGTCAGTGATTTGCAGAGGACCCCAGCTCCATAATTAAATAGTGCAGGAGAGAGGGAATCCGGGCAAGCAGCAAGAAAACGATTAAGGGCGGTGATCGCGTCTCGGACCTCAGTCTCCGACGGAGCCTCTAAGCTAACCGGCCATGGTTCAGCCTGTATCACCCTTGAGAGGAGTAAGGGGCCAATGGAACTAATCTCGAAAGTGCTCCGTCCAACGAGCTATACGGTGCTCCGTATTGTGAATAATGGTACCCGCGTTGTCCATGATGGCTTCATTGACGCCTGATTTTTGGGAGCATTGTTGCACAAGAGATTTACTGAATACTGGCCAACATGTCAATAGTCCCGATGCATCCTTAGGCGTTGTCATGCGCAACCAAGGCCGAACTCTGCCAGTATCGAACGAAAGTGACGTGGATGACAGTGATTCTGAAAGTAACGTTGTAGCTTGAAGCGCAGACAATCTCAATTGGGAAGCAGTCGACTCCGTATGGGCATTTTTATTGAAAGATTTCATCGCTGCGATTAGAGAAAATATGTGAAATGGTTGAGTCATCTCACCACCTACGTCTTCAGATATTCTGAGCTGGAGCTGGACGGAAGTATGGAAACTCACCAACTAGCGGTGCTCGTTTATGCTTTTCATGAGGAATTTTAAGCGCCTCTCCAAGCACATGTCAAAAACCTGTCTATATTGCAGATGCCAATGGAACGTCCCGGTTGCGTCCCAGGTAAGGCCATGATCGACCAAGGAAATTAAATGGGACGCGAACTGGAGGCAAAGGAAGGTAGACATCGCGTAGCACTCCGATGAACACTCACCGACAACACTCCTGAACGAGTTCAGGGGGAAAGGAAGCGGTTCTGTTGAAAACAACAACGAATTTCAAAAACCGTCCCAATCCCGAAGGTGGGGATACCCACAAAACTTGAAAGAAAAGCTTCAAAATGCGAGTAACAGTAAGATGGAGATGTGGGTAAACCAACGAAGACAACGTAGGAACTGTTAAAACTGAGGTGTAGTAATTCAGCTAGGTTGATAAACGGGGTACAGACAATATCATTGAAAGTGAATGCTTTTCTCCCAGCTCTCAGGGGGGGGGGGAAACCGATCTTATATATGAGCATCAAATAACATAAAGCCAAGAAAATACGTCCACTACGTTGCACGGTCGCAATGTATGAGCCCTCTTCCCATTTGCGAATTAGCACCCAGCCATCCTCGTGCATACCGACAAGCATAAACTCACTCCCCCCGCATTTACCGGCCGTGTCTGATAGATATGCAGTTGCAGGAATCCTTTTCTTGCTTCATCACCTAATTTAACAAGTAATTCTTGCAGATTCGTGGCCGAAACTCAAGCTCACACCGGCCAAAAGGTTGGAGCACGTATCCGACCATTTATCCTTTCTTTCTCATATAAATGTCTAGTGGGCCATGAGCTATGCCATTAGGGGCCACTACAGAAGCGACGACGGCGAGCCGGCGCAGCGTTGTAGGCACGCTGAATTCGATTTACTAACCGCGTGCTTGCATGCTAAGTCTCTTTATTTCAGGTGGTGGGTTTTCAATTTTGTCCCAATGCTTTTCTTTCTCATATAAATATCTCCCTGTACTCTATTCCATTAACTTGCACACATCGCCTAAGCCAATTGTATTCGATTTCCATAACATTTCTGCGTTCGTGGCATTCCGTGAACTATACTTCCTGACCTCGTGCACTTAGCTAGGATTTGTTTGTAAACAACTTATTACATTTGCTATTTAATTAAGGTTTATATCACCGTTTCCTTATGCATTAATCGAGTTTTTCTCTTTTTCTTTCTCTCTTTCAAGTGTTTGGCTGTTGTTTGATATCCCCAGTGTGGCTGCGCTTGATGTGCATGTTGACAAGGTGCCTACCTGTCTATTACCCACTAATTCGTCCATACTGGCTCCAGGAGACAGTTGGTCGTTGCTGGAGGGGACAGGGTGCACGGTCCTTGTGGTCGTGCTAGGCTCGAAGAGGGGTTCCATGCACTCAGTGTGGAGCGGACTACGGTCCAGCCACCGCCTTGTGTGCGCTTGATTCCCAAATACAGTGTGCTTGTGTTTGCCTGTAAAGGAGTGTGGGCCGGCTCCGTTGATGAAACGTGGCTCCCATCCGCATGCCTCCCGGTCTTATTCCTTCGGGTTTACACTGGATATGGGGTGTGTGGTTGGAGCTGTGGGTGATGCAGCGCAACCCATCCATGGTCCCTCTGTAGGCGCAGGCGTCCTGTGGCTTGCCACAGTGACAGGCAAATCCGAAACCGGATGCCGCCAACCATCCCTATTCGGAGGGATATCATCATTACTAGTTAACAATCTGCAAATCATCTCAATCCGACTGACTTTGCGGTAGCCGCCGTCCAATGATCCAAACAGCACCGCGCACATCGCGGCTGCCGACTGCTTCCTAACCCAAATAGAAATGATCGATACGTCCAAGGTCGCTAGCTACGTTCGCTTGTGCCGTGACACAAAATACTGTGAAGTCGTTTAGTCACCTGTGTCACAGTCAGAAGGATTCAACTTCACGACCCCAGTCACATGATCTTGGGTTTCGAGGAAGACGCACCAATGACGAGACAGAAAGTCAAAACAGCTGTCTTGTGCTTTTGTAAACGTGTGGGAATCTACCTGAGGGGACTGCCACATACTACATCACCACAGCAAAATGACCCTCAAAATCAATACCTCTAGAATTGGTGGCAGTGATTAGCACCGACAGGCGTAACTGTGTGATCTATCAAGAGTAGACTACGAGAAATCACCCAATGTTGGTTTTCATCGTGATTTATATTGCCTCAGCGTTTGAGTTTGACCAGCGGCGAATCTGAGTTTCTATGGCTCAAGTAAAAACTCGCCGTACTCCGCAAGCTAAGGGTAGTGTGCCCTACAGGCTACTAACAACGCAAATAAAAGGAGGCTATAAAGGAAATGCGCATCTGGTCTTCCTCAAACGATGATCTAATGTTGTAACCGATAGATAGATTGCGCACTTTGGAGGCAGAACCTGATGACATAAAAAGGCTAGCGTTTATTGAAGCCCTCGAAGTTCACTTGATTTCGCTAGATCATATCAATATTTTCCTGTGCGGGTGAGATAAGAAGGACTGAAGAAGGGCATGAGTGTTTCTTATGGGGTAAATCGTTGAGCCAGAAATGAATAAGATGCTCGAAAGTCATGAAAGATCTAAAAGGAAACACCCGAATCACACCCTGGCCAAACAATTACTTCCCATGTGTCTTGTACCAGCTGGCCCCACTGTGCCAGTTTAGTGAAGTAAACAAAAAGAAAATGAAAAGTAATGAAGGAAGGCCATTTGGATAAAGGAGAATACCAATTAGTGAAGAAAAAGATACAAAATCGAAGTGTGAAGATGGATATGATCAGGAGAAGGGAAAAGTTTCATGTTGATACAGAAGACTGTCCAACTGAAGCTGCATATTTTTGGGAAGTGAGTTCCAGCGCTCGAAGACTGCGTGATAACCGGCTTTTCCTCCTAATCCGGTCAGAGCGAAGCTTGTACGGCTTCATGTGATGACTGCGGAGACCAGACAACATGAACGGACTCAATAGTCAAGACAAGTTCGACCCAATCTTCCTAGTTAAAATACGACAAGGACCAGGTCTCGGTGAAGTCCTCAGCAGTGCATTAGATGTATTCCCAAACTATGTAGGAGCTCGGAGTACGCCTGTCCCCATAACCCCATAACAAACCTAGTGACGAGTTGCAAAACCCTTTCGATTTCCATTTTGTCTCGGAACAGGCAGGGCGGGCAAGCCTGGAATCAATATTCCACATGAGGTAGAACGAAAGCTGAAAACAGCTTCACAAAGATGTCGGTGGTTAAGACTCTGAAAGAACGGCGTATTAATCGCAACATACAGAAACCTTCACTTGCGGCATTCTTGCATTTGTCACCCGACTGCAAAGTAGAAGAGTGTACTACGTCTGGACTGACCTGATTGGAAAAAAGGGGAAGTTCGACCTCGATGAGCACGTATCTCGAAGGGGAGCAAGTTGCTCCAATATGAAGAACGGAACATGTTGCCCGATTAATGAGCATGGACCACAAAGTAGATAAGTCCCAGAGACTATGCAGGGCATGCTGAGTGGCCTCAGGATCTCCAGGAATATTCTAGTTCCAAGTTACCCGCAAATAACCGATAGTATTCCAAGCTCCCCATGAAGATCGTTAACATAGAGGGAAAACAACGGCGGTCCAAAGACCAAGCATTGTGAGACGAAGCTAAAAACAGCCTACTTAAATGACAGACTGCGACTCATGCGTGTACACTGTTCCCTTCCCCCCCCCCCCAAGATACCCAGTAAGAAGAGACCAGATACACCGTAAGAGCATAGGTTTTGTGATAGCCTCAAGTGGGTTACCGCGTCAAATGTTTTCGCAAAAACCACGAAAAGTACGTCCAGTACGTGGTAATTATCCACTGCATCAAGAACCACCAATGAAGTCGTCAGACACGGAAATCCCTTCCGGAATCCGTGTTGTGCATTGTCGAGTAGAGTAAATTTATTCAGTCGATCCCTAAACAAATCTCTCATCAGCTTCTCGAGACGTTTGACTACTTCACTCATCCGAGTAACCGGCTTGAAATTAGCAGGCAGGTTCTCGTCGATATTTTTGTTAATGGAACAGATAATGCCTTATTCCATTCAGAAAGCAAAGTATAGCTGTCAAGTAACTTCTAGAAAAAGGTTACCTAGTTCCGTCGCCAGCTCAATAGAAGCTTGGTATTCAGTTACTTTAGAAGAGTTAAGTTCGTGTACCAGTCCAAGGGCTTGCGGTTCCACCCCACTAAAAGCAACCAGGCACGAACTCTCTGGGACTCTGGAAACCAACCCACTATCTGTCAATGCAGCCTCAAGTATAAAGACCTCTTCATACTATCCACGTTGTACACAAGTTCTGTCGAGATAAGCATACACATAAGTTTCATCGACCAATCTCAACGTTGAAATTGTCGAATTTGAACCGAAGCGCTTCTTAACATAAGCAAAGAACGTCTTCGGATTGAGAGGCCCCACCAGGAAACCGTTTTCGCACAATAGCGGAGTTTTCCTCAAGTGCTGCCTGCACCTATTTCTCCCCGCGCAATACCTATTGAAGTTGCTGGTTGACGGAGCCGCTTGATAGGTTCTGCAGCATTTAGACCGCTTCGTGAGCAGGTACATGCTAGTGCTATCTAACCAGGAGAACTGTGCTCGTGTCTCCTTCTACCAGAACATGTCGGGAGTAGAGAATTCCGTGAGATAACACGACTGAAGAATGTTGTTGCAGTTTTATAACCTGCTACATACACAAGAACCTGTTCCGAGCTGGCTACAGTCAAACTGTGCTGCAGCTTCATTTGAGAAATTCGCAACAAAGATTACACACCGGTTATGTTGAGAACCCAACACGGCGTAGACAAGTTGTGTGTTAGAAGAACTACCTCTGGATGGTAGAAAAGAAAGCAGAAAAGACAGGTCCATTTGCGCACTTCCTTACGGATGCCGTTCTGATTCTCCGTCCTGCTGCGCACTATCAACCACGTATCTGCGGTGAGTGACATATGCATTACGCGCCCTCCTCCGAGTTCCTCAGACCTGTTCGTTTTCCTGCATACCACTCATTAGTAGTGCACCTAGACGTATCAAGAGCTAGAACAAGCATGCGCTCCAATTTCTTCCAGGTCAGATACACCTATACGTGCAACAAACTGCCAACCACACTCGGATCACACTAAATAAGGACACATTTAGTAACAGACATGTCTTGGCCTGAATACCGTATTGACTACATAAATACGCCACAAATTCATCCATGACCAATTGCAAGAGAGAGGAATAACGTCTCAACACCCACCCTTCCAAAGCATGAATTTCGTCTCAGCCATACAGTAAATCACGAATACATGAATCCCGTGCCTTCAGTAATGCACATCTACTATATAAGAGCATGGTTACTTTTGCACATATTGATTGGTGCCGCTACAGACACAGTTTCGGAAATCACCAGAAATATGTGTATTGTTACTATTATTACTGAGAAATGCTGCGTGCGCAATAGTGTTGTGTGGCTACTGCACTGAGTAACTTGTGTATATCCCAACACAATATGACAGACGTCGATGTATATCGCAGGAAAGCTCAGAGGCTGCCTCAGCCAATAGATTTTGGAACTGCGAATACTGAAGCTGTGTGAAGTGTGGGTCGCAAGATTAGTTACATCAATAGACCCAGACTCCGGCAAACGAGGTGCTGCCAAAGAGCCAGACGGCGGTGCTTATACACCCGATCAATTGCGTTCAAATGTCAGTACTTCGATCTGACAGTTATATCACTGTTTAACACAAGTGTCTGGCATGCACGGCGCGTGTGTGTACTACTATATATTGGCTCATCTGTGGGCTCGTGAGCTGAAGGGCGTTACGCTCGCGTGCATCTTGCGCGCTTCGTCCTATAGTCTTATGCGCCATTTTCACAAATAACTATATAGTGGTACAACAGTGTGCCTTTAATTTTGCTTTTCCAAGAATAAAGAATGCGTTTATGTAACATTCCCTTTTTCAAGAGGTTTGTTTCTCCTTATTCTGCATTTTCCATTGCCGCGAAATAGTACACTAAGTTTCAGTGGACTGTAAAAAACAATCGCTACACTTCGCCGCTCAGACCAGGAGAATGAACAGTTAAACTGGACTGCGATGAAAGCAGGCATATGAATGAAGAAATATCCATCCAATCCGTTGGTGGAGAGGTGTTCCACCGAGCACCTAATTACAACTTGCGGTGAAAAAAGGTAGGTAGGAATCGTAAATGTTGCGCGAGGGGTTATCTGGTTGAGGAGCCCAAGGTCGAGTAAATGACGAAGAGTTAGGAAGTGACTTGTGACTTGTGGAAGTCAAACAAGAGACGAGATGGTAGCGGGACGTACCGATTGCCTGAATGCGTTTCATGCTCCAGAAAGCGGATCGCTACACGCGCCGTAGCTGTGGTCTTCTTCAAGTAATCCAGATGAGAAATGACTGAAAAATAAAACGAGACTCCTCGATATCAACAAAAAAAGGAAATTGAAGATGAAGGCATGAAAGAAGTAGGAGAAAAATGAGGAAAAGCTTTGCTGAAAATAATGTGAATTACGGTTGCAAGATTGCACTGACACGCTGTTAGATCTTAGTATAAGCGAACAGCCACTGGAAGTTGTTCATCAGTTCATTTATCTTGGTGGTTCTCACCTTTGGTGGTCACAACCTGAGGAGATTACTTCGCATAACTGCAAAGTCGTTGTGGTAGTTTTGTGACTCAAACACATATTGAGACAGCAGGACATCAGCTTGTCAGTAAAAGGCAGGATGTATAAAGTTGCGATAAAGCCGGTGCTACTGGCCATTTCTCACCGAGGACATTAGGCGTTTGACTACCTATGATCACCAGTGTTTGCAGAGGACTACTCACATCTCGTGGGAGCACCCGAGATAGCCTGTCTTGTTCTACTTTTCTGGCAGTTCATCCATATGTCACGGTTAGCTCGATATCAGATAAACCTCAACCTTGCTTCGGGACATAAATCTTTTCTGCACACCTGGTCTTACTAGCGCGAACAATGCCCTTACACCTGAGCATTCCACCGATGGGTTTCTTTTCCCCATTCCCTTATCTAACTTCTTCGCCTGTCATTTCTGATTGCCAGTCCTTAGAAGTACTTACAGATAACGTTTTGTACATACTACATTTTCACTTATACTACTTAACGCAAGATCTATAAAGAACAAATTGCATTTTGTAAGCATGCTTACTCAGCTGAGCACTCCACATGTAATCTTCGTCACCGAAACATGGTGCCCCCTTGAAACATTGGATGCTACTTTAGATATTCCTAACTACTATCTATTTTGAAAAGATCGCAGTACAAAAAAGGCGGCGAGTGCATCGTATATCTCCATCGGAACTTCAGAGCAGAATTCATTGATGAGCCACAATAAAACAATGTCCCAGAATCGCTAGGGCTATCAGTCGCTGCAGCGTCCTCTACAATACTTCTCGGTTGCATCTACAACCCTCCGAAAGCGACAGCTAAAGATATCACAATTATCTCCTCGAATTTGAACTCGCATCGGTGTTACCACACGGTCTAAAGATAACCGCTGGCGAATTCAATCTATCGAATATTACTTGGTCACCACAAACATCCACATCATTGCATAGATCTTTCTTATCGACAATCAGTTGGGGATTGGACTCAGTGGGTTACCAGACCAATTAGGTCTGCCAACATACTGGATTTAATCTTCACCCTAGGATCTCCTGACGCAGAAATTGACATCTTAGACAACCTTCCGGGTAGTGACCACAACATGCTACGCCTCTTCATCCACTTGGAAAGGAATACCAAACTCGACTCACCTACCCAGCAAAATATACGAAGGATTGACTGGGAGCAATTTGGAAAGCAGATCCGGTCCTATAACTGGGATGGGTTTTTTCTCTCCACTAGCGCCCACATAGCAGTGGAACATTTCTAATACCAGATCCACCACATCCTAACTGTACATGTCCCGCATAATAAACGTGTCATTCATTGTCCTATGAAGTTAAGCTCCACTATGAGTGACTTGAAAACGAGAAAACTATTCGGGAAATTCAGAAAAACTAGACTTATCACCAGTATTACAGCTGCACGAATCCACCGCCTGTAGCAAGCGCTCACAAATGAAACGGATTGCAAAGTAAGAGGAGAACGCCTTGCAGATGACAAGCAAAAAAATGGAACTGGCCAAATTACTCCGTCGTAGGACTTAACAATGGAATATCTTTAATTACAGAGCTTATTGATGAGGAAGGTCGCCACCTTAACGACCCACCTGCAACTTGTGAAGCGTTTAGCACTTTTTTCGCTGCTTCCACGAACGTAGAAACCGACCCACTACCTTGCTACCTGGAACTTTCAACAAGCGGCATAGATAATGTCGAGATTGCTCTTTCTATCACCCAACAGTCTATGGCGTCCATCAAACCATCGCTCAAACCACACTCCGACGGCATCCCCCCATCAGTTATTAAACTTGGTGGACCTGACATACCATTGCTCTTGCTGAACATGTTCACCTTGTCCTTAGAATCTAGCCACTTTCCGGACAAGTGAAAAAATCGTTCATCGTTCCGCGTCATAAAGGGGGGCCCAAACAGCATGTCACTAATTATCGACCTATCCATCATACTCCCGTCATCGCTGGCTTACTGGAAAGATTAGTTAAAAGTGGAATCATGGACTACCATCCGCATGGGCTACTTAAATCCCAGCACGGATTCTCGACAAACGTTCTTGTACAACGGGTCAGTTGCACTACCTGGATTACATCACAGAAGCCATTGATCCGAAATATGCATTCATAATACTGTTCCTGGATATGCAGAAAGCATTCGACAGAGTGACCGACAAGCGGCCAATAAAAAGAATTGCCTCGTTTGGAATCAGAGACCCACTATTTGGCTGGTTGACATCATACCTAAATGGGCGTTATTATATAGTGACTCTGGGTAATCATAGCCTCTCCCCACGTCCAATCAATAGTGGTGTCATCCAAGGGAGTGTAATTGGTCCTTCGCTTTTCTTACTTTATATTAACGATATAACGGTGTTCATAAAACATAGCAGGTCATTTTGTTCGCCAATGACATAAATGTTTACAAATTTCGACGAGACGAACTCAATAGCGAAATCCTGTTCGTTCAAGAAGACCTCGTTCCACTTGAGAAATGATGCAACACATGGATGCTAAATTTCGCAGCTAGTAAATCAGGCATTATGTCACACGGATGTTTAATCCCTGAAGAGTCTGTTAAACTGAACAGTGATCGTATCTGTGTAAAACTATCCAACGGTGATCTAGGCATACGATACGCTTCAAGCTTTAATTTCTCAGAGCAAGCTGAGTATCAAATAGCACATGCTAAATGATCAGTGGCTGACGTATGCCATAAAATCTACACAACCCCTGCCAAACTCGAGCATTTCAAAATACTTACACTTCATGTCCTTGAATACTGCAGCATCATCAAAAGATACATGCGAATGGGTAACAGGAAAGCTTTGGAAAACCTTCAAAGATCATTCATTGAGCGCTTGTTCAGTAAATCAACCACCTTGAGTTATCAGGAGCTATGTCAGCAGCTTAAGCTAGAACCCCTTTGGTTGCGACGACTGAAACATAAACTGATGCTGATAAACAATCTTATAAACCAAAAGAAATATTCCAATCTGTGTACACTTAAAATTCAACATAACCTCACACGGAATATACGCAATAAGACCTGTACATTGTGTGCCGAGAACCAGGACAGATATCCGATCAAACTTCTTCCTGATCAGATATGCTGTCGTGTGGAATAGCCTAGCAACCACAATCAAGTCTTGCACAAATGCAAGCGCATCCCACCTTCAGCTTAGCAAATTGCTTGACCAGAACTCGATAATGACCGTGTTTCCATCGGGTAAATCACCACAGGAGTTCCTTTCAGGATGGACCAAAGAATATATAATCAATGATTAAATATGGTACAAAGAACTCAGCAACAACAAAATTTACGTGATTCCAAATTATTTTGATATCCTACACTTCATATTACATATTTCACGTATGCATGAGCATGATAGTTATTGTACCCATGATCTGTCCACAATCCAGGGACAGCTTCTCGCACAATCGGGGAATATACGTATTGTTATTATTATAGTCTAAAGACTGACTTTTGGCAATAAACCCTATGGTGCTACACTAAAATGCCCCTTGAAGTAAAACTGTTTACGTTGGCCAGGTTATGCCTCCATAGGCTCATTGACCGCCTTCGTCTGTGCGCACTACATGTCATCACAACACTTGATTGGAGGAAACCGCGAGATGGCCAGTCAATGAGGTGGCATAAAGTCATGAAAAAATTGACCGAAAACTTGGTCAGGCTAGTGAGTGCTGTCCTTGTGGATGCTGACTTTGAGATGTCACGCTAGTGGAAGTCGTGCAATCATTGGCACTCAGTGGCTGTTAATAATATGGCTCAAATTAATTTTATGCATTTCTCCATTTCTTTTCTGTGTTCTACACGATTTTCCCACCATTTTCTACTATCACCATCCTGGCGACAAGCTCCGCCACCACTGGATTCATTGCATTTCCGTTCCCGAATCATAGTTGTCAAACTGAAGTAAGTTGAACTATACGGCGGATATCATGAATAACAACATAGCAGTCAGTCAAACGAAGTCAGTTGGAAGATACCCTTATATGAAGGCCTAGAAAAAAATGTACAAGTCACTAGTAACATTAGGGAAATGCACAGCTTACATGGTGTATTTGCAGTAAGACTTCCCCCATGTCTGAGCTCTTTAGCCTGGGGTATACCAACCAAGTTAACCTAGTTGAGAAAGGCTTTTGAAAATCTGTTGGTGTACAGTAAGTCACAAGCTGAATCAGCCGTTGCGTTGCAATTCAAAGTTTACAAACGTTCCGTGATCAATACAAGGATGGCAGCAGGTGTAATTCGAAGGACAAAGTGCCCGGTAACGAATAGCAGCTATAGGACATCGGCTGGAATGTGATGCGTACTAAAAGCAAAATCTGGGCTAGGGCATCATGCCGTGGTCAATGAAAAAGTTTGATAGTTGTAAAGAGACATAAAAAACATTGGCGGTACGTCAGCACGCTGTACCAACGCTTCGCGGCCACACAGCTACTAATAGTCGGTCCACTACATAGGCATCCATGTTGCCTTGATCTGCCGGCTGATGTTTGCGCGGGATCGCTGAGCCAAAGGTGTGGCTGTTCCACTTTTGTTGCTGCGTAAGACTTCGACATTCGGAGTGCGTGCACATGAAGGTAGAGTGGGCGACGGCACAAAACCACGTACGATAGTCGGACTAAATAGAGGTGATGCGCTCCACGTGCAATAGTTGAATTGTAGTGCCTACGAACATCTGGCTAGAAACATGGCCAACCATTGTTCTTAACTCTCCTGACAGCATATGAGACTG